ATGGCTCATGTGCTTCTGCATTAGGTTTTTTCAGGGCTTTTTCTTCTCACTGGATGATGTGCCAACATGTTAGTTTATTGATGTAACATAAGCTACAATGAAATACTCTGTATGGCCAAAATTATGTAGACATCTCACCATCACACTTCTATGAGCTTGTTGGACATCCTGTTCTAAAACAAAGGGCGTTAATATGAAGTTGCCCCCCTGGCAGTTATAAGAGCTTCCACTCTTCTGGGAAGGCTTTCCATTAGATTTTGGAGTCTGTCTGTGGGAATTTGTGCCCATTCAATCAAAAGAGATACTGTGAGGTCAGGCACTGATGTTGAACAAGAAGGCCTAGCTCGAGACTGACGTTTCAGTTTCTCCCAAAGGTGTTCAGTGAAGTTGAGGTCAGGGCTCTGTGCAGGCCACTGGTGTTCCTCCACACCCAAGTCATCAAACCATGTCTTTATGGACCTTGCTTTGTGCACAGGGACACGGTCATGCTGAAACAGAAAAGGGCCGTCCATAAACTTCCCTCCTCAACTGGACTTTTGGCACTGTGCATTCCGGTAGGTAGCATTGTCCTGGCATTTGTCAAACCTACATTAGTCAATCAGATGGCCAGATAGTGAAGCAAGATTCATCACTCCTAAAAACGTTTCCACTGTTTCAGTGTCCGGTGGTGGTGTGCTTTAAACCACACCAGCCTACACTTGGCGTTACACATAGTAATCTTATGCCTGTGTGCAGCTGCTCAGCCATTGAAAGTTCTTGATGCACAGTTCTAGATCAGTAATTAGGAGGGGTGTCCACATACGAATCGTGTATCTTTTTCTCTGCCTTCTCAAACAGTTCCTTAACAGTGGACTTAGATTATGTTTGAAATGGCATTAAGAAGTATGTAAAGTATTAATTTTAACCTGAGGGTAACTACAGACACCCTGTAAATAACCTTGTGAAACCATTTTCAGTAGTAGTACACTTTTCATTCTTACTTTTAATCTTATTTTCAGGCAGTGAGGGAAACACCACTATGTGACCATCACCGCTAACAAAACTTCTTACTAGCATGCTGAAACAATGTGTGGCTACTGAATACAGAAATAAATAAATATATGCTTTTTTCTTCTTGACCTCAACATTTGTGAGCAGAGTTTCTTGCTTTTAATCCTGCTTCTTGGCTGTGCACAATGCATATAAAGCATGTGGTAGCAGAAAGTCCTTGATAGCATATTTTACATATAACCTCTACATATAACACTACAAAAGGCATCAAGTGCGTTTGCATTCACATCCACTCGCCTCAGAGTCATTTGGCACCTTCCTCACTGCTCTTTTTCCCATCTTCTTTTGAAAGACTCAGAGAGTTACCAAGGCTCACCCTCTTCTAACGTTGTGACAGAGAGCAAAGAGGGGCGGCAGGCTTCTCATGCTGTTTACTGTCACCCTCTGCAGGTGAGGGAAATGTCAGGCATAGCCTCCAACGCTGAAAGCTACACGTTCAAAGGTTGAGCACGCCTCTGGGCTGGGGTTAATGTCTCCATTAACAATGACTTGCCACTTACTACGTAATATCTCTCTGCTGCGAGTTCTTAGTGCACAGAGAGTTGCAGTACCTCCTTAAGCTGCAATGCTAGTCTGATACAGATCTTCAGTCTTGGTGAGATCCATCTGAAACATTTGCATCAAATCTATATGTTGTTTTTGCACCAGCTTCTTAAGCGCAAATTAGATTGTGAAGATTTATCTTGATGTGTCTCCAAATAACAATGCATTTGTGGCTTTTAAGTACTATCTGGCATGTCATGAACGTAGGCACGTTCTACAAGCAGTTAGGATTGAGTCATTACATGAGATCCAGCCTGATTTACAGCCTGATTTATGGTATATTGACAAATCTCTTGCCATGTTCCACATTTAGTAACAGGGACTTTAAACAAAGACAATGGCGGCTAAAAGGATTGGAAAAAAACTAGTTTCCTGCTTTTCTACTATGGCAAATCAAATTAATACCAAAATTCCTTTGCAATTCTTTAAAAAGCTTTAAAGATGCTAGTTTAAATAAAGCACTTCACTTAAGACCATCATCTAAAGCTACATTCACATTACAGGCCTCATTATTCAGTTCCAATTTTTGCCAAGATTTGGTCTTTAACTCGATGGTTCACATTGGCGTAGGTAAGTGACTCAGATCTGCCGTTGATGTAAACGAACCTGTCTCCTGAAATGACCTGCATGTGCACGTTCTAATCAGTACCATCACATGAAGGAACCAAATGTGTTATGTACAACAAACAGATTAACCAGCAGAACAAGGCTTCGTTGTGAAGACAATTTTCTTTAAACTGCATTCAGCTGTTCATTATTAGAGGAAGACAAAGGTGAAAACGGGTCAGATGCATTGCGTTTATGTTCATTAACTTCAGGTTATCCCCTGCAGCCTTGTTAACGCTGAATGATGGTGGATGCGCAGTGGAAAAAAAGGAGAAACACACAGATCCAAGCGTTCTCATTAAGGTCGCATGGCTATGAATCAGATCTGGATCGGATCTAGGACCACATATAAAAAGTGGCTCAGATCTGAATAGAAAAGATCAGATTTATGTGTCACATTAAGGCAAAAAAGGGATTTGTGCCTCTTCAGCCTGGTAATGTGAATATAGCCTAAAAGTAGTCTATAATGCTGAAACTCCTCAAACAGTCTTTTGACCCCACAGGGAGAACTACGCAGCTAACAGCATCACATCACACAGTGTGAGTGAGCGCTACATCAGGACAGATTTGTTACAGGATTGGATCGGATTAAATCTTTTTTTTTCTCTCCGATATCCGATCCAGCATTTTTTTTACCTGATATCGGCCCAGTACCCATTGATAACGATATGCCTTCTCAGTTCACTGCAATGACAGTGCAGCTGTCCTCACTTTGACCTCTGAAAATCCTACATTGGCTAAAGAAAAAGGAAATGTGTGGTGCCCAACACCGCAGTCGGCATGCCACCAGTCGTGGTGTTGCAGCGATCATTGCGGTACCGGTGTTGCAAGCTGACCTTGAATCTCTCCACTCACCCAGATAGTGATATTCGAGAGAGACGCAGCTCGATCGAACCGATAGCTTTTGCCCTTGACACGCTTGGCAAGCACTCCACAGCTCACTTCTCCATCCTCCTTCAGTCAAACTGCACCAGAGCATCTGTGGGTTCACCTGGAGCTCAGATGTTCCTGTCCTCTCCTGTTGTTAAAGAGGTGTCCCTGCCGTATCGTTTAGCTCATTAACAGAGGAGCTGTCCTCTGGACATCATCACCCACGCACCCGCCTTTCATTTTTTAACAAGCCACTTCGTCCAGTTACAGCCCTAAACCTGCGACCTCTGCACTGCTGCTCTCGTCAGAAGCCTGTCAGGCTGTGAACTCCACTGATACAGCAGGCCTCATCAGGCTGCCCTTTCATTTGATTCTCTGTTGTCAGCTCCATATTCTCTTTCTCTCATTGTCACTTCTCTCTTTCTTTTTCTATTTATTTAGTCATTTTTGCTTTGTTTCTTTCTTTATTGCTTAGCGCTTTGCTCCTTTTTGTGCTCTCTCTCTCTCTCCTTTCTTTAACTGCTTTATTGCGTTCTTTTCTTCCCTTGTTCGTTCTTTTTCTTTCTTTCTGTACTCTGTGTTGCTTTCTTTCTTTCTCTCTTCCTGTTCTCTGGCTTTTAATTGATACTGAATTGCTTATTGATGTGGAGCTGATGTGATGGTAAGCCTCTCTCTGGTGTTGCGATGTTGAAGGTGAGGGAAACTGGAGCTTAGTGAGAGTACAGAGAGGACATTCTCTTCTTCTATCACACACTAATGCTTCCCTGCTATGGACTTTTCACATCTTCAGGCTTGCTGGGTAACATAAACATGCGCAAGCATTTTTATTTGTTTGTTTTTGTACTCTTAAAAAAAAAAATGCCATTTGTGTATTAAAATCAGTCTCTTTTTTATTTCTTTCTCTCTCTCTTTTTCTTTAACATCTGTCATTTTCTGCATTACTTTCCATACAATAATCTTGCTTCAATTGCAGTGTGGCTGAAGTGTCTCTATATTACTAGTAATTCTTCATTTTCTACTGGATTTCTACATCTATTTAATGCTTTAAAAAGGAAATTATGCGCCGGAAGCTCCATCTCATCTGTCTTAACAGTGACCTGAAGGTTATATATGTTTATTGGTTTAATATTTGCCCGTTCTGTTGCTAGGCTTTGATCCAGAAGCCAGTCAAGATCTGTATCTGCTTTGTACACTGGATAGTTAAAGGATTCTAATTTAAATCCATTATTTTTTTTAGGGTTCAGTAGCATCTCATTTGCTGTGTGATTTGGTAGCATTGTCCCAGTGGTCTGCTTTGTTTGGTAATGTGGTTTATTTAGACTTTGTCTTTGGTCAGCAGTGCTGAGCTGAAATTATTACCTTGTTAATTAGTTTTAGAGCCATTTGACAGAGGCGACTGATTTCATTACTGAACTCTTTGGTTTTACTATGTAAACCTCTGCATGGTTTACAAGATGTGTAAATATTTATTCTACTCTACCAGCCCCCAGAGTTGTTGAAGTCTTCCCCTGGTAAAAACTGATACTGCATATTTTGCAAGATTTTAATTTTCATCCATTCAGTGTTTCTCGTTTCTTGTAATGACATTAAAATAGCTACACAATATATTGTTTGTTAGATTTGCAGTTGAGCCCTCTCTCTTTTTTACTTTATGCTGTGATCATTCTAATCAATCACAGATTCAGATGAGTGTTTCTGTGGGTGTTTTGATGAATCAAGGTATTTATGTAATCCAACAAAAGCAAAATATTTTGGTCAAAATAATGCAGGCCAGTCTTTAACCATGTCACCAGCACTTTTATAAAGATATTGTAAAGGATTTTGCAGTGTAATTACTAGTATTTTTGTCCATGTAATACAATCTTGTCTCTCCCTTTTTACCTAGTTAATTTGCTCACAGTTTATAGATCACACTGTCTACTTCTTTTCAGACGGAGGAGCAGCAGCAGCTGGTCACCAGGCAGAAAGAGGTGGTCTCAGTTCGGTGTTAAGGGACCTGGTCAAGCCTGGAGATGAGAACCTCCGGGAGATGAACAAGAAGCTTCAGAACATGCTGGAAGAGCAACTGACCAAGAACATGCACCTACAGAAGGTGGGTGAAGACTGTGGTTTTGGACACAGAACAGTTTTGACTGTTTCGGAAAATAAAATGAGTCCTTTGGGTCGTGTAGCATTTGGGAAGCATGGATGATCATTAATTTCAAATTTAGCTTCACTAAGTAAACTAGAATCAGAGAAGCTCTTTGCAATGAAATAATAATAAAATGACAAAAACAGTAAACTGTTAAAGGAATATTTCAACATTCTTCAACCCAGTGCCACATCTGCTGCATCTGTAGCATCTGTAGTGTACGATCGATTACCTCAGACTGTGATTTTGACATTTCTTCTTGTACCTAGAAACAGAAAACTCTCACTGACTCACACCACCATTACAGTAGAGACCAATGGGAAAGTTTTTGAATTTTGTTTATATATGCAGTTCATTACTCAGTTTTCATGCTTCACTTGATCAACATGGATGTAAGTCACTAGAACTGCTTTGAGAGAACAAATTTAGTAAAAGCTTTTTCTCATGTCTGTTTCATTCTAAGACCTGTTTTGTTGGATTCGGACGTAGACAGATATAAAATTTACACTGGCCACTCTGTCCATCAAGCTTATGAATAAGAATTACACATTTATTGTATATATACACTTACTGTATTTACAATTAACAAGCATGCTTCAGTACCAAAAACCCCCCAGTCCACTCCACTTTGTTTCATTATACCAGTAAAACGTGACGTGATGGGCATGAAGGGATCCTCATTTTGACCTTTTAGTCAGCCAGACTCAAGTGTTTTATTATTGAATCCCACCTCCATCTTCATCAGGTTTTGATTAGTGGGCTGTGAAGGGTTAGTTATTGAGATCGCTAAAGATCTTTGTGCTGTAACAGCACTCATGTTGTGCTCTGCCTGTCAAAAACGCTGATGGACATACTGGACAGGACATCGCATCCTTCCCAAAGTTGTACTTTAGCCACGTGAATTCTTTCTTTCACTGAATCAATTGGTCAGTCTATTAATCAACCTTTATTTTGACACCGGAAATACATACTCATTTACAATGTAGCCGAGCAAATTACACAGGGATCGAAAAGATTGAAATTAAATGTATCAACTTAACAAAAAAAATGAACATCAGCAAGAAAAAAAAATGTATAAAAATTTAAAAAAATAATAAAAATAACAGCTCAAATAGGAAACAGGCATAACATATTAACAGAAATATGTAATGAAAACATTAATATTAAGAAAAATAGTAAGCAATAAGAAAACTAAAATCTTAGAAAAATCTAATTATTTACTAGAATAGAACAGTAAAACAATTAACATCAAATAAAACAGTTGCAATAAAATATTAAGACAAAGTAAATAAAAAAATATGTAGTTCAAAGGAGAAAGGAGAGGTTATAGTCAAGTTACAGGCTGTCTGAAGGTGGTTAGAGACTAAAAGTTTAACATGATTGAGTGACACCAGCGAGCTGAGTTTTCAAGACTCCTATAGTGAATTCCAGATCACTGGTGCACTGTAGCTAAAAGCAGATTTTTCCAGTTCAATAAAAATTCTAGGTACCTGACAGGTGATCCAGTCACTAGAGCGGGTCTGATAATAATTTTATTGTTATTTAGATTATAGATGAGATATGAAAATAATTACAACATTTTTTTTACAGAGTGAACTCACTGACCAGTCACTCTCATATGTGGTGTTGGCACGGTGGCAACCAAGCTGATGGTTCCACTGTGTCCCAGCAACCAGAACTTTTTGACAAATGTCAGAAGGATTCGTTCCCTCTCTGCTTACTTTCAGATCGTGATAGTATCTCCAAAAGCAACTCAAATAGTGCTCAGACTGAGTCAGACATCCAAGCTATATGTGAAAGCCATAAAGTTCCAGCTGCTGAATGAGGTGGTGAAAAACTCGGTTTTACTTTTCCAAAGAGGAAAGTAGCCCATCGTTGGCCCGTTTTGTGAGCAGCAAATTATATCTTTGCGCACATCTGATTATTTTGGCTTCTATTGTAAGTGAACTTGTAACGTACATGTAATTATGACATGGTAATCAGACCAAACTCGACAGATACTGCATATAGAAATTGTGTCGAAGGCTAGAGTATTCCTTTAAGAGCTGATTCATCTTAAGTGAGGAGGGGTTCAGGTGGGTTAAGGAGAATTGAAGCTCGGCCAGCATGACTCCATGGATTCCCTACTGCTGCCTAATAAGCTGCATAAGCTATAAGCATGTTGGAGGAGGATTGTGTGACAGTGCTGACTCTGACGGGGCGCTGGGCCGTGTGTGTATGTGTGTGTGGAGGCGGCTTGCTGTCACGCAGCCCCAAGACTCCACCGAAGGGGGCTTATTCATCGGGAGCCAACGGGTGGGCGTGTTTTTGAACGATGAAACGGTTCAGGGCACAGGAATAGAAACGGCACCCCGGGCAGCCTGCTGGGCGATGCATTTGATGGGATTACACCATCACACAGATCCACTAATGACAATTAACCTCTCACATTGCACTGCTTGTTTCAACAGCTGCCACTTTAACTACAGCACACAGAAAATCAGATTTACTAGTCAGTTTTTAAAAAAATGACAAAATACGACGCATAAAAGTTCTTATTATGTAATTCATGCCCACTTGTTGATATGGATTTGCATGTATTTATACTTGTTACGTAGGAGTGTTTACTGTATGCACGTTTGGTGTGAGATACATATTCATGCCTTTGTCGTGTTTGTGTGTATTGGAGAATGTGGAAGTGAATAAGCTGCTTGTCCACACTGAGGGGGTGTTATTTCTGCCATACGAGGCTCGGAGACGGTCTGGATCCTTGGCAGAGTGGTGTGTAGGCGTTGTTGGTGCCCAGAGGGAGTTGTAGGTTACACAAACACCCTACTTTAACCTTGGCAGAAGGAAATAGCGCTGAAGGAGAAGAAGGAGAAATAGTAGGAGGAGGGGACTGAGTGGTGCTCCTGTGAAAGTTTGCCCTAAAGGACATTGGGGTCACTCTGCAGCATTTAGACTTGCAGTGCAGGGAGGGCTTATCTGCTGAGCCACTGATTGGCTAGACTCTTAACATCATGAGATCACTACACACTAAAACAGTACTTCCCTGCATTGGACCTGGGGACACTTTCCCAAAGCAGGATTTCTCAGTCAGCCATATAACTTAAGCCGGACGTCCACTGCACAGTTTTTTAGCTTGATTTCAACCCTGATTTGCACTTTCCAGCAAATTTTAAGAATCTGAAGCGTTTTTCCTGGATGTGGTTGATCTGGTCATATAAGACGAGATGAGTCAGTTTTCGTCCTTCTAGTTTAGCTCCAAAGGCCTTTCCATATTTTCAGACATTTATTTTTAATACCTTAAAATGAACTAAACTAGTGATTCAGACAATATCCAAAGAGAAAGCTAGGAGAGAGGAAAAAGAAGCATGTACTAATGCTGTGTGTGCAACATACTGCAGAGATGGAGGAGTTGCTGGCTAAACACAGACAAATAAAAACCTTTGATTTTTGTATAAAGTATATGCTGAAGGCAATCACGTTACAGTTTTAAGTCAAAGCTGCCAGTTTGTGGTAAAATGTTTCTTCACCTCTTTTTGTAGAATAGAAGGATTTCTGCACTGTCAACCACATATTCATCCCCATTTAGCGTTTTTGCTATGCTTTATATTTGTGCATCAAAGCACAAATACATCTAGTCCAATTTAGCTTTGTCTGTTTCACATGATAATGGGGAGATTTGATGTTTTGAGAACTTCATGTTTTTTTTTCTGAAAATACAGAGACTAATAATTCAGTGAAATGCTGCTTTTATGTTTTAACTGGACTGTAAAATGTTATAGTTTTGCTTATATATTTTACTCAAGACGGGTGGCTAAATGTGAGCGTTTCTAAGGACGTGTTGTTAGGGATGTGATTGAGAAGGCAGGTGTAGTGCGGCTTTATTGCTCCTTAGGTTAATGACTCTAGCTGATGTTCATTAGGTCCGGAAACAGTGGGAAAATATTTCTCTGAGAAACAACCATGATGGCACATCGTCCACAATGACTACGATGATGCCCACAAAAACTGCTGTTTTCCTCAGCCTTTTTTTTTTAATACTAGAACATTTTTCTGTGCTTGCTGCCAAATTTTTATGCTACTGATTACTGTTGTCACCTAAAAGAATTAGCCTCCAGCCTTGCATGAATTTCAACGGAAGCATTTTTTTGCTACTTCTTGCAGATACTTGAGTATCAAAATTAGTCAGGGTGTAAATCCCTACCTGATGCCTGTCCAATAGGAGGAAAGTGAAGGAACATTCTTAATGGTCAGTCTTCATTTTAGGCTTAAGTTATTAAGATTTACTGAGGAAAACCTGCTTTGTGCTTTTGAGGAACGCTGTCACGCTTTGTGACATTTTCCTTGCATATCCCATAAGAAATACTTCCTATACATCAGTTTGTACTTCATAAAACATAATTTGTTGGGTTTTTTGGCTTTGCAGCATTAATGTAGGGCCTCTTAAGATGCTTAGAAAATTCTTTGATTTTCCAGGTAAAAATTAGTCCATATTTGTTTCTGACTAAAAGCACCAGAACTCATTTCGATCGGAAACCAGTTAGCAGAAATATCTGGCTTATTCAAGTATAATGGAACTCATTTTCACACACCCACACACCCCCATTTCAGCTTAGGAAGAACTGGTTAATTAGCTGATTAGTTGGATCAGGTGTTAGAGTGGGAGAAAACAAGGCAGGGCTATGAACCACTGCAGTAAACCCCCCCCTCAGATGCGTGCCAGTTTCCTGCTGTGTAGGAGATGGTGAGGTTTTTCCGTTCTGCTGGTGTGCTCTGGTTTCATCTTGACTGGACTGTGGAGTGCAGAGGGTGAAATTGCAGCTTGTGATGTGGTGAGAGGAGGACTGTGTTGGCTGCTGTTCAGTAGATGCCATTGCCCTGTGGCAGACGAGGTTGAGCTCATTAAGGGAAGCAGGAACTGTTGAGATAAAAGGAAAGCTGCTGCTGAACGAACACTCCTCCACAGTCCTGACACTCTTTCTTGCTCTCCAGCAGTCCCTCTGTGCTACACTTAAGTGTAGGAGATATGCCAAAAATGTAACATCACGATTAGGGCTGTCACCATCGATTATATTAGTAATCTAGTAATCTGTCTGTCTGATTAATCTGGTGATTAATAGAGTAAAAATTAAAAAGTCAAGTCAAAATTAAGATGTAACAGTGTAGTGTGACCTCAAAACTATTGCAGTGTGCATGGTGGAGAATGGACATTACATGAATTGTGTTATCTAATTCATTTGGGTTGTTTGAACACCAAAATTTGCGAACGATCAGCACCAGCATAGCTGCATAAAAGTAGACTTAACCAAACAGTTACAAACCATGCAAAGAAGCCTTTTAAGACTTTATTAAAAATATATAAAAACTAGTTGTGTCAAAGTGTGAGAATGATTAATGACACTATTTTTTTATGACATTAACACATTTCCTAGTTTGTCCCTTCAAACCATCCGTAGTTCCTGCTTAAACCCCAGCTGCTCATGCCCTGACTCACACATTAATTTGATAATCCCCTATGGACCATCTATAGATATTAGTTATCAACAACCTTTCTGGTGATAGTTGATTATAAACACCACCAGGGTAAGAGGTTAGGGTTAGGAGTAGGTGTAGATTTTGTGTTAAAGTTAAGGTTGGGGTCCGGATAAGGGTTAAGGTTAGATTTACTAGGATCTTTAACACAGCCTCAAGTTTAGTTGCATTTATTAGATACTTAGTTAAAAGTTAGGTAAAGACAGTCTGAGCAAACAACTATCTACAGTGGACAATTAAAATAAAGTGTTTCCATGCCCTGTTGCTTAGACTCTGCACCTGTAACCCTCTTGTTCAAATGCAGCTCGAATACAGCTTTTAAAAGGCAAGTTCCACCTGTAACCCTCTTGTTCAATTACAGCTTTTAAATGGCAAGCTCCAATGATGACTCTCTTTTGCAGCTTCGTCAAACTATGCTGGACAATGCTTGGGAGATAACCATGAATAAACGAACAAGCAGCAAAAAGCAATAACAGAGAGGAAAGCTCCAGTCCCCATTGAAACAATCTGTATTGTAGCACTTGGAGAGCAAGGGCTACAGTCGTGGGGGACTTGGAACATACAGGCACTGTTGCTCTTACTGGACATTTGTGAGGAAAATTGTAAACTGCATTTGCTCTATTTTCATGTTCACCCTGTATTTGTGTGATTTTCATGTTCAGTTTACTAGTTCACATAATGGAAGTAATGTTACTGAATATTGAAGGTAATGAATGCATTTTTATGAAACATTTGTCCTCTCATATTGCTAAATCAAAAAAAAAAACTTCAATATGAAATTTGAACAGATGAAGAGAAATGTGATTAGTCATAAATAACTACACAATGAAGCTGATTAATCTTGGTTAATTATTTTAAGTGTTTGACAACCCTAATAAAAAGTCTAATGTAGCAAAAAAAAACGCATATAAATAGGCAAGTATGTCAGGCTCTGTTTCTTACTGCAAGAAGCAGTAGGAGAATTTAAAATATGCATTATCATCACGCAAACCTCCAACTAATCACTGCTGGTTAATTTATTTTAAATAGATTTTTTTTTAAATAACATCAAATTTATTCACTTAATCATGACAGCCTTTATCACAATACTTGACTGATATGTATAATGATATTACATTTTTCTGGGGTTGGAAGTTGGAACAGAATGCACCAGCAAAACAGTAGTGCTGCATTAAAAAAATGTAATTTTTCTTTTTCAGCTCAGCATTTGCTCCATTGTTCCTTTTTTGACTCTACCACCCTCTTTCTCCTCACTCTCACTTCCTGTGCTAGAGTCCTACCCAGAGGCCATCAGTGCAGAGCGCCAGCAGAACACACAGCCAGAGTGAAATGGCCTCCACCTGCTGAGGTGAACTTTGTTGCTGGAAAGCTCCGCCCTGGCTTAGCCAGCAGCTCCAGCAGCAGCGTCCTCATGCATATTTGCTGCCAGTTGGGGCCGCCAGCCCAGAAACAAACAGCCCACTTAATATTTGATGGCTTTGGAGTGAACACACGGCAGATGGAACATTGCCTGTGTATTTGTGTGTATATGCCTGTGTGTGTATGAAAGAGAGAGCAAGAGAGAGAGAGATGGAGGTAGAGATTTGACTAAACTCAAGCCTAACTGCCTGATGGCACCTTCTTACCTGTATGTGTGGTGGAAAAGAAGAAGTCGTCCTCTGTTACTGTTCTGCTCGTCTTATCTCTCTACTCTCTGACTTCTTCTTTGGGGTTTAAAATGGCATGTTTTGACAGCAGATGCTCTGAACTCTGCTGATAGACACATCACTAGAGGTGTGAAAATGCATCAGTGCATCGTGTTGAATTGATCTCAAGGTGGTGAATCAACTTCATCGATTTTGGGATGTTACATTCAGTGTTAAATTCAAAGTTAGCGTTCATTTTCCGATTAAAGGACAATTCTCCAAAGTAAACAACCAAAAACAGCTTGAAGGAGCTGTCGAAGTAGTTCTTACAGATGCATTTTTTGCATATTCAGTCAATTTTTCAAAAACATTTTTAAAACAGATTCTGAATTGTGCCAAAATAATCCATTGTAGTTGTAGTGAAATATATTTCATGATGCACTAGTTTGTTTCCTGTAGAATAATTACTTTTAATGTAATCATACTGAGTTATTGCGAGGTCATTGATTAAGACTTAGGACGTAGCACATAGGCCTCCAACATTCTCCAACAAACGGCAGCGTTCTAATGTGGGACATTGGTTTAATACCGCATTTTAGAACAGTGTGAATGGAAATGTGTAAATGATTGAGGACATTCTAAAACAATGTAAACGGGTTAGAACATACAAGAAAGATGTGAATGTGGAGAGCATGCTAGAACTTGAGTAGGGAAGGGTATGCAAGAATGGTGTGAATGGGTGAGAACATTCTAGAAGAGTGTGAATGTGGGAGGACATACTAGAACAATGTGAATGCGTGAGGATAAACGGCAACATTATAATACGGCATTTTTGTTTAAAGCTCTTCCAGAATAAGAACTGGCATACCACATGAACCAGTGTGAATGGAGGAGAATATTTGGCAGAATATTTTAGAACATTGTGAATGGGTAGAGCACTCTAGAACAGTCTCAGTCGGGTAGAACATTCTAGAGCAGTGTGAAAGAGGAAGGACATACAAGAATAGTGTGAATATGGGAGAACATTTTAGGACAGTTTGAATGGGAGAAACGTTCTGCACTCTTAAAAATGATATTTTTTTCAGTGGGTGAGGAAAATTCTCGAGTCTACCATCAATCTCACACATGTATGGCACAGCGACCAAAGCTGTGTCCCAATACAGGGGCTGAATCCTTCAAGGGATGCAGTCTACAAAGGCGTGTCCTTTGAAGGCTGTGTAGACCCGTGAAGGCTGAACCAAAATCAGATTCACTTCTACGCCGGATTTCTTGTTTGTGTCACAACACCGCTGTTCCCGCCCTTACCGTTGCGGCACGAAATGGCGCTCTCGTCAAGTTCTTTTGAAGTTCTCTAAAGATGGAGCCAGAAACTTTGATTTTAGTTTATTTGTTTCACTTATTAAAGCTGGAGATGCTTATCTCTGTCTGCTCTCCCCTAAAACATAATGAAACGTTAGCGTAAACCACACTGGCTTTTTTTTTCAACATTTGCATCGTTAGTTTTTCAACTCAGTTTAAACCCAATACTTACATTAAAAAATGAACTCCTCTGCCGCCGTTCGCTCCTCTGCTGATGCCGCCATGTTCTCTAATCCTCGCCAGCACGCAATGAACCTCGGGCCATGTTGGCTGGTGAAGGATCCACCCGTTGGATCCTTTGTGCCGTGAAAAAGAAGGACACATTTCTCGACCGCATATGAAGGAGACTTCGAAATGGGACTACCAAGTTGCGCTGCTGTGACACAGTCGGCCTTTAAATGCATCCTCCGAAGGACGCAGCCCCTGAATTGGGACACAGCTTAAATGTTTAGGTTTCTTGGTGTTTGTTGATGTTTGCTGTTGGTTGGAGCATGCTGGGTCAGTGTGCTCCAGCCTTTACATATTACTGCATGTTCGTGTGTCTTTATGTTCTGTCAGCACTTAAAACAGGTCCTTGTCTCTTGCTTTGTTGCAGGATCTGGAGGTGTTGTCTCAGGAGATTGTGCGTTTGAGTAAAGACGCCGGCCCTGCCGAAGGCCCAAAGGCCATGGGCTAAGACTGAACACACCTCCCAGCCTCTCAGTCAAAACTCTTCCTCCACTAGCTCATCTTTCCATGGCTGCAGAGAGAATGTTGCACCTACTCAAGACACAAACTGGAAGACTGACTCGAACCTCACGCAAACCAGGAGGAAAAGGAGTGTGTCCATTCGCAAGTCCTGTACTACTGAATGTATTTACACTGTAAACACTCTGTGTCTCGTTTTAGTCTTCGATGCTGCGAGAGCTGGATGGGTCGCTTGCTAGCTGCCCCCGACCGCTTTGCGTCATTGATTCTTTGAGCTCGGGGAAGTGGTGCAGCCCCACAGGACAAAAGTACAGACAAAATTCAAGCTGCAAGGTGGCTTCTACCATTGTTTTTAGCTATGTGATGTATGTTTGTCCATTTTTGTGTAAATCTGACCTTGAAGGGGCTTCCCCCAACCCTCTACCCACCAGAAGAGAGGCTGCGGTCACTAACAGCTCCCTCACGGCTCCCACTGTTTGCCTGTATTTGTCCTGTATATCTGCTTCTGTTTTCTTTTTTACCTGTTCATATGTTTGACTTGTGTAAATATGAACACGGAAAAGATAAAAATAGTAATTTATTAGTTCTATACATTTATAGTAGGACAAATAGCAAGACTGAAAGTATCGCGAGGAGAGATTTGCTGCTTTGTGCCGCAGTGGAGTTGGAGGATGAAGTTGAGCTCATTAAGTGGGATGAGTTTGGCTTAGTTCATTATGTCAACACGTTACAGTTTTTGGCGACATGCGAGTGCTTGTAACTGCGCCGATAATTGTCTGAGCATTTCGCACGTCTGCTCAGAGCGCTGCTACGAAGTAAAAAAGCGCCCCATGGCCTTCCTTCTCTAACCAGCACCCCAATCTGTTGTCTCTATTTCTCTCTCTCTTACACTCTGTTTTTTCAAGGTCCAACCCAGTTCAGCCTATTTCAGCTGTTTCTAATCTGCAGCCTCCAAACAAGCTTTGAATGTTACATCATTCCACTTTTAAATATTCAACTTTTTTTGAAAGGAAAGCAAAGGAAGAGGGCATTTTATTTGTACCTGTTAAATGGAGAACGTTGGAGAACTCTAGAGTTTTTGAGACACTACAGTTTGAGCTGAGCTCAGACATATGCTCTTTTAAGACCAAGAAACTTTCCAATTATTTCCTGTGTACTTCGCTGTCCGCAGCTTAGCCATTCCTGTGTGCGTAACAAAAGCTTGCACTGACATGCTCATCTGTTGACCTATTCATGTCCCACCCACAAACTCTGCCTTCGTAGCAACTGTCGTGAGGTTGGACAAGCTTTGCAGAACGTTGGAAAAGAAGAGCAGTTTACACGCTTAAGATACTCGTTGATATTTCTGAATCTGAGTACCTGAATCAAAATCACCCTTAAAAACTGTTATATAATAAAAATGATAATAGCATTTTTTAGTTGTCTGACGTAACAGATATGCTTCCCATTTGCGCTAGACGTGCATCTTCCTTAAAAAAACCAAATCTTCTGACTTGAATGGCATGAATTTATAATGAACTAAGTGAACTAAACCAGCTATAATTTGTGTATTTTGAACATTTTCCATATATGAACAATAACTGTTCTATCTAAAGGCCTTGTATTTTGTATGTGGCTTCTGGATACTACGTAGAGAAGCTAATACCGACTTAAAAGTACCTCAAGTGTTTGGATTATTCGATCCCCAAGTTTGGAGTTTAAATTCACTAAATTTTATTGAGCCTGTTTACACCTTGTGTTAATGTGGGCTTTGTGTATGGATCACATCTGGATAAACTTTGGAAGGATTCACTAAATTGCACCCCCAGTTTGACCAGATGGGATTGCAGTTTTCCAGTGTAAAAAGCTTTACTTTTTAGGTGGACGTGCTTGGCTTGAACACTTTAATCAGCCAAGAGTGCCAACTTCAGTCTCACGCATCCTCCATCTTTTGTTTTGTTTTGTTTTTTATCCTCTCATCCGCTAGTCAGTGCTGGGCAGACGCGTTTCCCCTTACATAACTGTATATGGATAACGAAGAAACATTCCGTTTACAGTTGTCTTAAATGCAGTCAAGATCTGTCTCTGACCACCACTGAATGTGGTTTGAGTAATCCAGTTGTATTCTGATTGGGTTACTCAAACGTCCTGGGGGGTGTTTCCACCTGGCTTCTCATGAAGTGAAATCTGAAAGTGATCTGATGACTGAAAGCACATGTTAATGCCAGGTGTGAACAGGCCCTCTAAACCATGTGGTTGTACCTATCTGAAACTAGGCAGGTTGGAAACAACAGTAAATTTGCCTCCATGCTAACATGACCTTGATTAGACACCAGTAACACACCTGATCTGTTCACAGTGTGACTGTTCATATGTACACAAGAAAACAGTTGTTTTTCTGTATTTTCACAAAAACCTCTGCACCAGTTTCTCATTAGGTTGAATAGGATTTTTGCCAGTGTTCCACAAAGTCTGTCCAGTTGCTATGAAAGAACGCATTGTGGGTGGAGCATGGATGGGTCTGTTTTGCCTTTCCCCATAAGTACACGAACAAACAATGAATTGTTTTTATGACTCAAATTATGCCCACATAGCCTGTGAAGTGGCTGTTGATTGTTCGTTATTAAAGGATTCTGCAATACTGAATTATTTTGATGACGCAGGTGAGTGGGAGGCTTATAACGTCTAGCAGTAAAGCTGTTAGTTAACTAAGCAGTAGGCCTGACATATTTATTCATCTGGTTAAACCCAGTTGGCTTAGTGATATTAGTCAGATGTGGGCAGTCACTAATCTGTAATGTTTATTCTGGGTGCTTTTGAAAACACGAATTTTGTTTCATGCCTAATTTTGAACTTTTACTCTCTGTATTTTGATTTGATACTATTTATACATAATCATTTGCATGTTGGATATGTATGTATGTATGTATTTTAAATTCTTTGCTTGGACACTAATCAAAATAGGCATCTTATCGAAACCATCCGTCATCTAATGTAGATCAGACACATTATTTATACTGTATTATGGTGAATGGCGAAATGACCAGCTCTTTTTACTTGTGATAAGACGTTCACCACGAACATATCGTTAGTGATTCTTTCGTGTTATTCTGCGTTGAAAATATGCTCTGCGTTTTCTTTGCCTTTTGATTTTATAAAGCTGTTAAATCTGCCAGATAATCTAAACAGGGATGTCATTACTAACTCTTAGCTTAAAGTGAAACAACAGTGCTTTTATCAACATCTCCCCTGAAACTCGGTTTTTATTTATTTATCTGTTTGTCACCTGTCTTGTTCAGCGAAGAAATTTCCCTTGACTTCTTGCAGCGTTAATAAAGAATGGCTGGAAACTAATTTTGTAATTGACTCCTTTTTTTTCTAATGCCAGAAGGCGTTTCATTCACGCCGAGATTTGCCTCGAGTCTTTTGTCTTCGCTGTAATGCAGCAGCTGTAATGTTTACTGGGACTGGAACAGAAACGTCGATGTTAAGAGCGTGTTATACACGCACAATGCTCGCGTACATCATCTGCAGCATTGATGGATCACCTGGGTTGTTCTCATGGCAATGCAGCATTACAAATAGAGTGTTGCTATGAATATTGACCCCCTAACTCCCGCACACGCTTTCTTGCATTCTCTTTCTTTATCCTCCCTCCCCAGCGAGTGCTGCTCTTATGAAAAGCCCCCACTCACTGCAGCATTACCAATTACTGCAGAGCCATGTAAACAAATTACATGAATCATTGAACAGCCTTTTAATTTGGCCAGTTTTTGATCCCAGTTGTCATCTCGTTCATTGCATTTGTCACTCTTGAGCAGATTCAGTCTAAGGTTGAATCAGTCCTGGGACAGTGTGTTATCAGACAGCGTGGGGAACCTGACCACTGCAGAAACAAAAGTATTCAAACCAGCTCAAAGACTGATGAGAATCTTTTGTCATTATAGATTTGACAGTCTGCAGTGCTGTGCAGAAGTCATTTGATTTCCAGGCAAGACCAGGGTTATAATAGTTAATTAAGACTATTACTAAACTAACTGGACTAACTGTAATGAAAAAATCAAAACGACCGTTTTCAAAAACACAAACTAAATCAAAACAGTGTAAACTGCAAAACTAGCTAAAACGCAATTACTAAGTAAAAATCTTCAGTTTTCTAATCAGTGTGTGAATGGGCGTTTAGAACTGGATGGCTTTTCTATTTGGCTGTCTTTAAGGAAAACTTGAACCGAGCTGAGCTGTTGTGCTAATTTTATTCTACCCTTATCAAATATCTACTATCACAGTCTTCATTATAATACTAAATAACTAAAACTGGAAATAAATAAAAACGATTACTTTAGAAAGCTTGAACTATTAATGCACCCTTCAAACTAACTGGAACTAAATGGAAATCAAAACGAAAAATAAAAACTAATGGAAATTTTAAAACTAATAACCCTGGTTATGATGGCCATGCTAGTTATTTATCAGCTTTAGAAAATTACACAAAAACCTCAACTAAATATAACCGTTTTTCAGTATTTATTGTGTCCAATCTTTGCCTTTATTACAGCTTCCATTCTTTTCAGGAGACCCACTTTCAGTTTTTCAAAGAAATCTGCAGGGATATTTTTCCACAACTTCAAAGTCAGTCTAGAGGCTGATTGCATTTTCTGCTTCGCACAATCCAAATAACATATTCAGTGATGTTGAGGTTTGGACTCTGGGGTGGTCAGTCCATTGTTCTGAGAACTCCAGCTTCTTTGTTTGATTTGCGCATTTTCTTCTGTTTTGTCTGTCTCTTTTTCTCAGTAAGAGCTTCTTAACAGCTACACATCCTTTCAGACCCACAGCGCTGAGTTGTCTTCTCACAGTGGAAGGATGGACAGAAACACCTGTGGATGTTTTCAGATCTGAAGCAGCTTGATTTTCTCCTCTCTCTCAAAGATGAAAGTACTGTTTATCTGATGGGGACAGTCTTGGTGTCTACCAGGTCTTGCTCGGTTATTAGGAGTCTCATTTTCTCTGTAGCTTTTAATCATCAATCATAATCAATTTTTTGAGCTTCAGTTTTGGAAATTTCAGTTTTGGAAACTACTTTTTTCCTTCGACCTTATCCTTCCTTGTACCAAGTGTATTATCTTTTCCCTTGTTTTAATGTCCAAAGTTTGCTACTGTAGGTATACGCTAGAGCTACAAGGCTAATGTAGCTAACAAGTAATGCAAGCTTATACCTACTTGTTAGCGTAGTTTTGTGCAAATGTGACTTTTCACTGAATACCTTTAATTTGTGAATGTTTTGCTACTTTTCTCATGTCTTCTGGGCTTTTCTGTCGAAAGTTTTGAGTTTGGGTCAATACAAACAAGCTGCTAGTCTTCTCTGTTTGGTTCTTTGCACATAACTCTTTCTGTCAGCAACTTCAGCCATTGATCTCCTGCACCTCTTCAAGAGAGCTAAACTAGACAAACTCGGGTTTGTCTTATTTGACAGGCTAATGTGTTTATCCACTGGATTTGCCCCTCAGAGAGGCAGAAGGAGAAATTTGACAGTTTGAATTTACAAGAACCAGCATTCTGTTATCAGTCAGGAAGATGAAAATTAATTATTGATACTGAAACATGGTTTATTGATTTATGTGTCATATTTTCAGTAAACATAACCTGCAGTTCTGAAAGCAGAACTGAAAAGCAGAGGAGGCCCATTATATCAGACACTTTTTCCATCCTGGTTTAACTTCAGGGAAGCTGTGGGGGGTTTGGGGTGGGGGGTTTGTGGAGTTACTTAAAGTTGAAAAAAAAAAATCAGTTAAAATTCACCACAGTGAATCAGCAGTAGTTATTTGGCAGTTTGCTTGATGATAATGTATATATGACATTCTTCTACTGCTCTCACTCACAGTAAGAATCAAAGCCTGGTGGACACACCCATTTGTACTTTTTTTAAACGAAGTTGGTCATTGAAGTATTTCTGAATCTTTAAAAGGCTGTGCTGGCTTGTCATTGTCCAGTCAAGTCTATTTTTACTATTTGTCCTTTAAAAACCTCTGATTCCTTGATTAATCCCCAAAATAACTAGTGCAAATATATATCCAGTAATGATGTCATTAGCACACACTCTAAGAGGTTCTAGTGGTGAAAGAATTCTTGGTTGCGAATTAAAATCAGTAGAACACAACGTATCATAGCTCACTGGCAACAAGTTTAGTGCCTTCAGAATCAAAGACAACAGATGATAAAATTCTAAGAAAGGGACTTTTACCTTGCACTTGCTTAATGGTGCTTTGGCCCTCCAAAATACAAGATTCAAACAGAGCCCAGAGGCCTGCGCTCTAAATAAGCAAGAGATTCGAATTGTTTAAGTCTTTGTATTTTACTGCAGACGTGTTTCGCCTCATGTTGTCCTCAACGCCAGATGATAGAATTCTAACAATTTCAGAAATTTTGGAACAAAAAACCTCAGAATATGACCTACAAAGAATGTCTAAAAGCCAGCAGTAGGCATTTGATTAAGAACAGCTAACAACAAAACTAATGGATGATCCAAGACAGAATGGTGTCATATCACACACAAAAAATTGAAATCTGTTTTTCAGGCGATGTCACCAGCACTGACAACTGATGTCATCGCCTGGCAACGCTCAGCGACTCCAAGGACTGTTCAGTTAGCATTTTGCCATTGCTGCATTAAAATAAACGCAGTACCAGACCACAAAAAGCCTTAGTAGATCATATGTGGCTTGAAGTTTACACAGAGAAAGGCAGTCAGTCTAAAGTCTTTAAGATAAACAGATAAACGCTTAATTTATAATAACAAAATCTAAATTGCATCAAATGTATATGAGTAGAGTTTAAAAGTGAGCTTGAGATTGACATTTATCTGTGTTCTCACTGCAGCACCGTTTATGTAGTATAGCTGCACTTTGTACTGTGTCTGCTATGCGGCGTACATATCTGGTGGGGTGGTAGAAGCAAAAACCAGGAACATAAATAATATTCACACAGTTTGGATAGTGATATAGTCCCATTTTAAATATTTACCTGTTTTTTTAAATACAGACTAACACGTGCTTCCATTACCAGTTAGCTACATTCGCAAATTTACATCAAGTGTTTTCACTCATCAACTGCTATTAAGGGAAAATTGTGCAAATTAGATTTTTGGCCAGTCTGTCACTTTTGGACAAAACCTCTTGATTCAACCTATCAGCTCATTCTCAAAGCACGAGTTGAGCTCAGAGTGTTAGAAGTGGACACCCACTAATATCTGCAGGCCTGTAGCCTTCCAGGACCTGAATGAGACACTCTGCTTCAGGCAGATGGTACATCAACAGAATCATCCTGCAGTTCAAACACAGAATAGCCTGCAGGGCCGCATTCGGCGCCATGCCACGTTTTGCCTGTGTCAGATGGAGCTAGAGCTAAATTTTACAGGCTAGCTTCACTCATCTAACGTGGGAGGCTATGAAATTACACCCACTCTATTCATACTGTTTCTATCCGCAGTGTTCCGGAACATTTTCACCAAATTCAGCTGGAAGTGGCGCCCAAATTAGAGGTGCTTGGAAAGACTCCCAAAGAAATCTGTCCAGTTAAGCATGTTTGAAATGTGAAGGAGCCTCTTGAATCTCGAGAATCCATACCCTTCGAGTGTTTCGGATCGGCCCGCTAGTTTCTTCAGAGATAAAAGCACTTGTAGAAATCAATCCTCAAAATCAATTCTCAGCTTTATGTTTATCAATATGCTGGTGATTACGGATACCAGTGATGAACTGCAGTGGCTATTGGTGTCTCTCTCTCTCTCTCTCTCTCTCTCTCTCTCTCTCTCTCTCTCTCTTTCTGAGAGCTTTGTGGATTTCTTCGCAGCAATAAATTCAAAGGCCTCAAAGGGATTCATGTAGCCATGTTATTATAGCTGCCATTGTATTTGTCATTAAAGGAATAGTTCAGACAAAAATCAAATTTACGCTTCTCCCCTTAGCCCAAATGTAGTCTGTCAGCCAATGCTTGGTGTCTGATATTTGATTGCACTCGAGCTGCATGGCTAAAAAGTAATATAAGATGATAATCAAGAGTGAGCACTGTGTAAACTGCAGGCCTAAGTCATCACTCTCTCGCCTTAAACTGTGTCAAGTAGTTAAGTATCTCTAACAGACTTGCTTCTTGCACTGTATGACATACTGTTATCTATATAGATATATAGACGTATGTATTACATACGTAAAAATGCCAAGCAGCCATGTTGAAGCCTGATTTTGTCCGTACGTTTGGTCATTTTTATAGATTAGTTATTATATTTATAGACTGCACAGTATATAGACTGATTATAACTTTTGGACGATATGAAATGAATTTGTCAGAAGTCTCTGTGTGAC